GTAGGTAGGGATGGCTCAGTTTAAGATAGGAACTGAAGAACACTTCAAGTCACAATTCAAGAACGTTTCAAGACTTTTCAAGAACCTGAACCCTCATATAGAACAGGTAAAGACAGAAGTTGCTGTGTTTTACTGCAAACGATTTTTCTAGCTTCAACTGGTTCCAGGAACATTTCAACAACTTATTCTAACATATGTCCCACCAAACATGTAGCAATTGCTTGAATGTCTTTTTGTATGTTTCATTGCAAAATAATTGGGTTAGAGTCACAATACAAAAACCTTTACTCTAAAATATGGCCATGAGGGCAACAGAAATTTCCTTAATATCTTTTTCTTTCAACTATCCCTGAAAACGTATGTCTGGGTTAGGGTCACCATCTAATACACAATCCTAACACATGGTTGAACGAAAGGCATAAATTGCTGAAATCTCTTTCTCTTTTGTGCTTCACTGTTAACGTATGCCTGGCCATATGTCAGTGGGTTAAAGTCACCATTTAAAACTTATTCTAGCATTTGGTACCCCAGAAGGCGACGATTTGAGGTTCACTGCAAACGTATGTCTGGCTAAAACTGGTTTAGATTCGCCATTCAACTGAACATATTGTAATATATGGCTCCACCAGAGACAGCTATTGCTGAAATCTTTCTCTTTTGTGCTTCACTGCAAACGTATGTCTAGCTATGACTGGGTTAGAGTCACCATTTAAGAACTTATTCTGACATTTGGCACCCTGGACTGCGACGATTTGAGGTTCACTGCAAAAGTATGTCTGGCTAAGGCTGGTTTAGATTCGCCATTCAACTGAACAAATTCTAAAATATGACAGGAATAACTTCAGTATCTTTCCCTTTTGTGTTACAGTGCAAGCATATGTCAGGCTATGACTCGGCTAGAGCACCATTTAAATACGTGTTCGAACATTTTGCACTCCGGAAGGCAGAAATTACTAAATCAGCATCTTTCTCTTTTGTGCTTCGCTTCAAAGGTACATCAGGCTAAAACTGGGTTAGAGTCACTATTCAACTGAACATGTTCTAACTTACAGCTTCATGACAGGCAGAGATTTCTTCAATCTCTTTCTCTTTTGTGCTTCACTGCAAAAGTACATCAGGCTAAAACTGGGTTAGATTCGCTATTCAACTGAACATATTCTAACTTGCAGCTCCGTGACAGGCAGAGATTTCTTAAATCTCTTTCCTTTTGTGCTTCATGGCAAACGCACATCTGGCTAAAACTGGTTTAGATTCGCCATTCAACTGAACATATTCTAACATATGACTCCACAAATTAAATGGTAGAAATTACTTCAGTATCTTTCCCTTTTTGTGTTTTACTGCAAGCATATGTCAGGCTATGGCTCGGCTAGAGCACCATTTAAATACGTATTCTGACATTTGGCACTCTGGACGGCAGAAATTACTAAATCAGCATCTTTCTCTTTTGTGCTTCGCTTCAAAAGTACATCAGGCTAAAACTGACATTGTTAGGGCAAGGATCCTCCTTGAACATTGAACCTCCTTGCTTAGAATCGCTATATATTCAAGAACTTATTCAAACATATGGCACCACGAAAGGTAAAAATCACAGTATTTGTCTTCCCACTAGTGCACTGCACGCTCATCGCTGATAAATGACTGGTTTAGAGTCATTCAAGAACGTATTCCAATGTATGGTTTCACAACAGATAGCAATTGGTAAAGTGTCTTCTTCTTTTGTGTTTGCCCACTCTACGGACGTATCTAACACATACACCTTGTTCTCTAGCGCAAAGCTTCGTGTTAGTAAGAGAAATGGTTCTGACCTCTGTAAATGATAGTGGATGTGTGCAGAACTCTATGTAGGCTCATTCGCCTTTGGCGTAGCTCTCTGTAAGAACATATGTCTTATTTACAAATTTAGCTTTCTTACAGAATGAAGTTTCCAAACTCGAACCGGCCGAGCCTTGCACGAACAAAGCGTATATTAATGAGCTTCTGTTTAAATTTGAGCGCTAGAGTACTTGGCGTATACTAAATAGGATCTAGGACATATATCTCTATATGAATATCATATATCTCTAATTTAAAGGCACAGTTACCTTCAACAGCGAGCAGATTATTATTGGAATGAGCAGAGCACTTTGGACTAATGCCTCTGACCATTTACAGCTTAGAGGTACATATCCAATATTTTGTCAAAAACTTCTCTGTTACATGGCGGATCATAATGACCCCCAGTGGGGGTCTTCACGCTTCGTTAACAATTGAAAAATCTCAATATTTTAGACGAAATCTTGAGATCTTATGAGACAATATTGAGATTTTTTATGACAATCTCCAGATCTTTCAGAAAATCTTAAGATGAAAACAAAA